CAGCTAGGGGAGTGGGTTTATAAAAGTGCTGTAATCACAGAACACATGGCACATCAGTTACTACCATCAGACACACACAAGTTTCACTGTCGGTCAGTTCACCTTCAATGTGAGTTATCAACACAGCTAGGGGAGTGTATCTATAAAAGTGCTGTAATCACAGAACACATGGCACATCAGTTACTACCATCAGACACCACCTTCAATGTGATGTATCAACACACCTTGGGAAGCGGGTTTATAAAAGTGCTGTAATCACAGAACACATGGCACATCAGTTACTACCATCAGACACACACACAAGTTTCACTGTCGGTCAGTTCACCTTCAATGTGAGTTATCAACACAGCTAGGGGAGTGAGTTTATAAAAGTACTATAATCACAGACCACATGACACATCAGTTACTAACATAAGACACACACACAAGTTTCACTGTCGGTCAGTTCACCTTCAATGTGAGTTATCAACACAGCTAGGGGAGTGAGTTTATAAAAGTACTATCTGATGTTAGTAACTGATGTGCCATGTGTTCTGTGATTACAGCACTTTTATAGATACGCTTCCCAAGCTGTGTTGATACATCACATTGAAGGTGGTGTCTGATGGTAGTAACTGATGTGCCATGTGTTCTGTGATTACAGCACTTTTATAGATACACTCCCCTAGCTGTGTTGATAACTCACATTGAAGGTGAACTGACCGACAGTGAAACTTGTGTGTGTCTGATGGTAGTAACTGATGTGCCATGTGTTCTGTGATTACAGCACTTTTATAGATACACTTCCCAAGCTGTGTTGATAACTCACATTGAAGGTGAACTGACCGACAGTGAAACTTATGTGTGTCTGATGGTAGTAACTGATGTGCCATGTGTTCTGTGATTACACACACAAGTTTCACTAAACTTCTTTTTTTTTCGAGCTGCTTAAATACAGTGCTGACTAAACAAATAGTTCGGAAGGCAACTCTCTAAAACAGTTAAACCAAGTTGATCGGACTCTTGTATATCACAACTTTTAACAAATGGATCATTCTCTTTAACTCAAGTTATGTGTTTCGGATAAATTGTCGTCCTGACCTTGTAGATTCTCTCAGAACTCCCTTGTCAGGTTGAGATATTTTGTCCAATTTGCGCACAGAAGCTGTCCAAGCTACTTTTTAATGTATGTCCACAGCTGACTTCTTGACAGCCATGCCTCTTTTGCAGAGGACTTAAATATCAGGTCCTTCATCGGAAGTTATTTATAGTTTTTCTTTCTGACATTTAACTACCTTATAGAACCGTGTATCTTACAGACTGTCGGCAGTGAAACTTGTGTGTGTCTGATGTTAGTAACTGTTCTGTGATTACAGCACTTTTATAAACTCACTCCCCAAGCTGTGTTGATAACTCACATTGAAGATGAACTAACCGACAGTGAAACTTGTGTGTGTCTGATGGTAGTAACTGATGTGCCATGTGTTCTATGATTACAGCACTTTTATACACTCACTTCCCAAGCTGTGTTGATGACTCACATTGAAGATGAACTAACCGACCCATAATTTAGTTAGTCAGA